TGCAGGGCCTCTTTGTCAAACCCCTTAAAGGCCATATAAGTCCATATCCTCACTATAATTATCACTATCACTGACTTGGGCCGGCTGTGGTGGGTGGCGGGTGAAGAACTCGGTAATGTTTTGATGACTGGGCGACCTTGTGCGCATTGTGCCCGCGCCGCTTCCCGCGTATATGATGAAAAATTCCGCGTTAAGTGAAATTTCAGCTCTGGCGAGGCACCGCGTATATGATAAAACGCGTTAAGTGAAACCGCGTTAGGTGGGGTAATACTGTATACCAAAAATTAGGTGTCATTTAATGTTTTCCAGGATAATGATAAATTTTACATGGGTGACATCGATTTAATTCACATGTTATTTTACAGGTACACCGTATAGAAAATCATTACAAGTTCATATTGAAATTCTTTTTTGTGCGGAACCTTGGCATCATTTTCCTAGACAATAATCTTTGCCTAATATATCCATCTCTCGATTCGTATCCCGTCACTTCAGTGCAAGCTTCAGTCATCACTTTTATGCCTCTCTCGACCGCCTGAGTGCTGTTTGGCCACTTGGGCACCACTAATGGTGTCTCAAGAATGTCATTAACCTGTAGATTTGACAGAGAAGCAATGTAAGGAGGCTCAGTCTTGAGTTCATTCCTCCAGTTAATCATGGAATGATAGTTTTTTGCTTGCCACTTTAGTTTCGGAGTCACCACCTTTCTCATGTTGACTACAGGAGGCACATCCTCATTCCCATCTCCATCTTTACCCTCCTCATCAGTATAGTTTAACAAATTCTCGTCAACAGCAGCATCAGAATCTTCCTCCTCCTCTTCAGATCTGCCAGTGCATTCTTCCTTTTGCTGATTCTCCTCTCTAATTTTTCTTATCATTGAGACAGCTTTTTCTCTAACAGTCATGTCCTCATCTGCACACATACCAAGAAGAAGTTGATCTGTGTGGGCGAAGTATGCATTTCTCTGGACAGCCTTCTTCACTATCGTCTCCTCCTCACTATTCAGGTGTTTCATATATAGCAGGGACTGGAATACGTTCCTTGAGCCGTGTGTTACGTAAGGGTGTATCTTGATGTAAAACCACATTGGAGCACTGAACTTTATTATTGTAATGACAATTCTTTTCAACTCATGGCTGGGTCTTGATGTTGCTACATACAGCCTGAGGATTCTACTCCATAAGGTGTTCCACCTTGACACACAGGGAGGACCTGGCTCAATAGCAGCCAAGTCATCTTCAACAACACCTGTGATAACTCCTTTACAAATCCTATACAGGTATTTCTGATCCCAGGACAGATCTTTCTCCACTTCATCATTAAACACAGGGAAATCAGGGAAACTGACTGGCTGGAAGGCGACAACTGGAAGCTCAGACAAAGACTCCTTGATCTGATTTCCAATGGGACCACGCCAATGCTCAGGACCACTTGGTTTACCATCATAGTGATAAAAAACTGCGCGGAAAGGCAGCTCATTTCCGTGAAGCTGACATATGAAATAATGGAGCGGGTGACCAAGTAACATTTCAAGATGATGAATGACTTCATTTTCTGATCCTACATTTGCATTGGTTCCATCACAACCAACACACACAATGGGCTGCTGGGTTAGATTTTTCTCCACCAGAAACTCGTGAATAGTTTTGGCAATCTGCTTTCCGTGTCCAGTCTTGGGAGTCACATGTGTGAGATATTCATTGCCAGGCTCAACCATGATGACATAATGAAATGAGAAAAGGCTGATAATCAATATAGACATAGCACCATACTCATCTGCAACAAGACAACTTAAATGAAATAAGAGATATGAAAAAAAAGTTGATAAACACTGAACAGAACATTGCACCGCCACAGCGGCTGTTTGGCTAGTACTGTAGGTAAATTTAAAAATTTCAGTAGAAAATGCGGCAGACTAAACCTCGACATATCAGCTTCAAATTTGGCATGGAGTCTTAGATATGTATAAGGAACAATGCCTGAAGAGTGCAGCTTTGAGCAAAATTTCACTGCCCCCTATTGTACAGTATTACCCCGCTTTACACGGTTTCACTTTCCGCGATTTCTCATTTACGCGGTACCTCGCTAGAACCAGACTTTCACTTTCCGCGGTGCATCTACTCATATACGCGGTGAAGTATAATATATTTTTTATTATTTTTTTATTTAGCTATTAAAATTCATACAAATTACCCTGCCAGAATATAATTTACATTGCTGGAATTCTTACAATTTGATGATCATTTTGAATAAAAACATCATGGATTTTCCATTAGACATACAAATTTTAGATCTAATGTAATAATTTGGTTTACACAAAGCAAATATTTTATCGTTTGTGCAAAATATATGAAGTTTACATTCAAAATATTCCCTGACCTGCAAGGAATCTAGAAATGTCAATTATATTATCTTAACTTTAGTCTGGATTATTACTTATTACTAAAAATGTAAATATACTATTTTCTCCCAATTGCTTCTCTGGTAGGGAGGGAAGGTGGGGGGTGGGGGTTAGGAAGGGAGGGAGGGTGGAGGTGGGTTATTTTGATTGACAGATAGTGTCCTTGAAGAATATTTCTTTGTTTATTTACTGAAGATATTTGTTTTAACTCATAAAATTCATACAAATTACCCGGCCAGAATATAATTTACATTGCTGGAATTCTTACAATATGATGATCATTTTGAATATAAACATCATGGATTTTGCATTAGACATACAAATTGTACATCTAATGTAATAATTTGGTTTACATAAAACAAATATTTTATCTTTTGTGCAAAATATATGAAGTTTACATAAAAAATATTCCCTGACCTGCAAGGAATCCAGAAATGTCAATTATATTATCCTAACTTTAGTCTGAGGTATTATTTAATACTAAAAGTTAAAATCTAGTGGTTTCACCCAAACATTTCTCAGAGAGGTAGGAGCTAGTGAGCTGGGAAGAAGGGGGGGGGGGGATTTGAGTCCATTATTTGAATGGACATTAACCTGGCGACTGTATTTCTCTTAAATATTAATTGTGTGAGCATACCATCATAAAATTTAGATGTTATTTTTACTACAACATAATAGGTATTGTGTTGGAAAAAGCGGAGTTTGGGGGTCGGGCCAGTCTCTATTGGAATTAATCCCATATGTTCTGTTGTTCACTTTACGCGGTTTTCACTTTCCGCAGTACCCTGTGGGTTCAATTGACCGCGTAAATCGGGGTACTACTGTACTGTACATTCAGCAAAGTGGACAGTGTAATCCTACTGTAGGCTAGTACGTAGAGGTATTGTATATGTATAGTATACTGTATAGGACAAAGGCAGGTCATCCTGTATCATCATATCACTATTTGGCTTGCCTGCATCACAAGCTCACGATGACAGCGTCTGCTGGTGAGTACAGTATATACAGCACAAAAGTAGTACAAGTGAATACAGTCATCCCTTGGTTATAGCGCACTTGGTTATCGCGATTTTCGTTATCACACCTCCATTAAATTTGCACACCGGCTGTTATAGCGCATTTTTCAAGCCGAGAATTTCGTTATCACGCATTTGCCTCCAGGTGTATTGTTGCCCATTTGCTTCACCTACATCTATTGAGGATAAACTCTTTCACCTATAAATTGAAGATAACACATTTGCTGTAATCAGACACATCTAAGTTGCCTCGACAACTGCAACCCCAGTTGCAATTTCAAATTCCTTGTCATTACTAAGGAATAACGAAGTTTCGGGTGCACTCCAAGATTGAGAGAAAACGGAGGACTCAGGCGTCCTGAAGCGATGAGAAAACAGACTCCTCAGATGAGGGACTCAAACAAAGAAAGCATAGCTACATGTTTTGTGGACTACAGTATTAAGCGTACCCTTTTCATCACTTTTTAATAAACCTAGCCATGCCTATGTGTGTTTCTGATACTTACCATAACATTATCTATATCTTTAGTAGGTCTAAATGGTGGCATAATGGGAAAATTGGGGTTGGGTCTTGGGTGCCTGGAACCAATAGAATAAATCCCATAGGTTCTGTACTTTCGTTATCACGCACTCGGCGCGGTCCCTATTAGGCGTGATAACCAAGGGATGACTGTACAATATTTTGTTTATTTACAATATTTTGTATGTGTACAGTGGTGTTTGTATACATAAATATAGCTCTGTGTCTATCCAAGAGAGAAGCATAGTTTAGACCTCAGAAAACTTTCCCCAGTACCCGGAAACTTTCCTGGGATGCGCAATAGTGTCTGTCCATGAGAGATGCATAGTTTAGCCTCAGAAAACTTACCCAAGTAAATTTGTACCCCACTTTACGCGGTTTCACTTAACGCGATTTCTCATATAAGCGGTGCCTCGCCAGAACCGAACTTTCACTTAACGCAGTTCATCTACCCATATATGCGCAGAGTGTCCGGCTCGAGACGCTATTTTAAGATTCGCCCCACCCGCCACCCGCTCCTGCCTGCCGCCTGCCTCGCCTCTCCCTCCTCCTCCTCCCTCCCTCCCCTCCGCCTCCATCCCCGTATGCCGACCCATCTCTTCTACTAACGTAAGTGTTACACCTAACTTTTAGTTTTCCTAACCTAACCTTTATTTTTCCTAACTTAACCTTTATTTTTCCTAACCTAACCTCTTCTATATTACTTCTTTGTTCATACCATCATAAAGTTAAGATAAAATTTTTACTACAACATAGTTGTGTGTCGTCAAAAAGTGGAGTTTGGGGGTCGGGCCAGTCTCTATTGGAATTAATCCCATATGTTCTGTTGTTCACTTAACGCGGTACCCTGTGGGTTCAATTGACCGCGTAAAGCGGGGTACAACTGTACCAGGAAAAATTCCGGAGATGTGCGAAATTTGTCTCAATACTCAGAAATCTCTCATTCCCAGTAGAGCTGTGCAAGAATTATTCCAGCTAACTTATGTATACCGGTATATCATCCTAAACATATTATAGTAATTATATTAAAAAAATAAATAAAAATACTGTACTGACTTACCCTTGTGGCTGAGGTATCAGAATCAGAACCATGTGCTGCATTTGACTGCTTGTCTTTACCAAACTTTGCTCGGACAGTCTCTGGAGAATCTTGCCTTGCTACCTCAGAATCTGTGGGTCCCAGGGTCTCTCGCCATTTTTTGACTGCGTTGGTTGTTATCAGTTCCATCGCAACAACAGGACCACTTGTGATGTAGTCCAAGAGAGGCCTAATAGAGTGAAAAGGTATTTGTCTTAATATTCTTTTCTTTATACAGTACCGGCATCTACCTAAATATACAGTGATATCCCCGTTAGCCGGAACAATTGGTACAGAGCACTTCCGGGGACGAGAAATTTCCGGCTAACCAGACGACTTTCTCAAACCCGGAAAGATTCCTTATCCCCGGAATATTTTACGGTTACTGGGAAAAGTTTCCGAGTGTCTAAACTAGACATCTTGCACACACAGACACTAGCCCAGTTCCCAGAATGTTTCTGGGTGCTGGGGATGTTTTCTTGAGTCTAAACTACTGGAGTCAGTAAATGCAGTTCTAATTAAGTTAGAAACTCCATTTCTTTAATATAATAATCTAGAAAAGTTTATATAAAAATTGGTAAAAAAAAATATATTTGAAAATTAAAAATCTATATGATATGAGCATGAATGAAACTGTGTGTTACAGCAAAGACTGGTATTTTCCACTCCCATGGAGCTGTGGGGGATTAGTGGGTCTTGTGTACCTGACCTGACGCAATGTCAGGTGGAGGTAGGGTGTGGGATTAGTGGTCTCCTATTACTGACCTACAGATGGAATGTCAGGTCACCCTTTCTTAGCCGGGGGATTAGTGGGCCTCATGATCTGAAGATGTCTTGAATAAACACAAAACCTTAAGTATTTTTAGAGAGATTGTGATAAGTATAAGTATAAATGAGCAATGTTGTATTCCTTAAACATTACATTACATAGCATTTTAAAATATGGAGAGAGAGAAAGCAGAAAGGTGAGGGTAATTAAAGAGATGGAGTGGAAATGAGTGTTGGTAAGTACTCCCCCAACAGCTGATATTTAACTCGCAGTCACACACACGCAAATTTGTCACACAATAAGACCCTCACTCCTTATGTCTGCTGTCTTAATTCCCTTGTTAGGGGTATGTGAGTGGTGTTGGAGACTGTGATGCTGGGGTGTGGCTGAAGAGTGTGGTATATGAACCTTGGGGGGGGGGGACGAGGTCACTTCCCCCCTTCCTCCCTCAAGAATGGAAAATTGTGATAGGGAGATGAATTTGATACCATAATGATCCTTAATACATTATCTACAAAACGTTTCCAATAAGATATCCTTAAACTAAATATTTCTATGTGAAATAGTGATGGGAATTCCATTCTTTTATAAAAAAAAACATATGAAATGTTGATTCCGGAGTCAGTAAAATCAGTTCTAATTTCATCAGACACACCATTTATTTTTCATCAAAATAATCCTGAATACTTTATCTAAAAGTTTGGTTAAATAAATATATTTAAAAAAACACAAGTTTTATATGATACAGGCTTGAACAGAACTGTTTCTTTTATCTTCGCCACCGATCGGCTCGTTAGTAGCTTGGGCGTTCGGCACGTCTCTGTTACACACTTCACTCACTTGACTGTAATACATGTGCATAACTAATCATGTCATATTACTAACCTGACCTGATGCAACGTCAGGTCACCCTGTGTTGGGATAGGGATTAGTTGGTCTTATGACCTGAATATGTCTTGAATGACATTATTTTTTACTATAAGGTATATACATAGTACTATACTGTACTCTATTGTAGATGAAGGGTATATGTATTAATAAGCACAGATTATTACAGTAACATATCTGTACTAATTAATGACAAACAAATAAACAATACTTGTATTGTATCATGAAGAGTAGACAAACAGCGAGACAACCCATGGCGTGGTCACTTTTACCCCCACCCCACCAAGGAGGATAGATTAACGCTTATAAAATGTCATTGACTTGACTTACGAGAATATATATTGCTAGAGTTCTTGTATGATAGTGATTAATTTGCACCACACACACACACACACACACACGAGTTACTATACCATGAGGCCTACGTGACCTTACACAGTATGGCAAGAGACCAGCCTGGGCCATCAGCTCCAAACTATAATAATTTGTATGTTCAGTTCATGTTCCTTCTCCTTTCAGTCATGAATGCTCTTGTTAAACGACCCACCTACCCCATGTCTTTGTATGCAATAAGTCATTATTGTCTAATGTACAATTTCAGCCTTCAGGCTGCATAACTTTTTAAATAATATAATAACAAAAACAATAATAATAATAATACAGTATTACCCCGCTTTACACGGTTTCACTTTCCGCGATTTCTCATTTACGCGGTACCTTGCCAGAACCAGACTTTCACTTTCTGCGGTGCATCTACTCATATACGCTGTGAAGAATGATTTTTTTTTTTTTTTTTTTTAGCTCAGAAAATTCATTCAAATTACCCGGCCAGAATATAATTTACGTTGCTGGAATTTTTACAATATGATGATCATTTTGAATATAAACATCATGGATTTTGCATTAGACATACAAATTTTAGATCTTATGTAATAATTTGGTTTACACAAAGCAAATATTTTATCCTTTGTGCAGAATATATGAAATTTACATACAAAATATTCCCTGCCCTGCAAGGAATCCAGAAATGTCAATTATATTATCCTAACTTTAGTCGGAGTTATTATTTATTACTAAAAATGTAAATATACTATTTTCTCCCAATCCCTTCTCTGGTAAGGAGGGAGGGAGGGAGGGAGGGAGGAACCGGAGTATTTTGATTGACAGATAGTGTCCTTGAAGAATATTTCTTTGTTTATTTACTGAAGATATATGTTTTAGCTCATAAAATTCATACAAATTACCCAGCCAAAATATAATTTACATTGCTGGAATTCTTACAATATGATGATCATTTTGAATATAAACATCATGGATTTTGCATTAGACATACAAATTTTAGATCTAAAGAAATAATTTAGTTTACACAAAGGAAATATTTTATCTTTTGTGCAAAATATATGAAGTTTACATTAAAAATATTCCCTGACCTGCAAGGAATCCAGAAATGTCAATTATATTATCCTAACTTTAGTCTGAGGTATTATATATTACTAAAAATGTAAATATACTGTTTTCTCCCAAACATTTCTCTGGTAGGGAGGGGGGTGGGGGGTAGGGAGGGAGGGACCCAGCAATCGTGGGAAGAGGGGGAGAGCTGGAGGTGGGGTATTTTGATTGACAGATAGTGTTTGGGTGAAGTACATTTTTTTTATTTATTGAAGATATTTGTTTTAGCTCATAAAATTCATGCAAATTACCCGGCCAGAATATAATTTACATTGCTGGAATTCTTACAATATGATGATCGTTTTGAATATAAACATCATGGATTTTGCATTAGACATACAAATTTTAGATCTAAAGTAATAATTTGGTTTACACAAAGCAAATATTTTATCTTTTGTGCAAAATATATGAAGTTTACATTCAAAATATTCCCTGACCTGCAAGGAATCCAGAAATGTCAATTATATTATCCTAACTTTAGTCTGAGGTATTATTTATTACTAAACGTTAAAATCTAGAGTTTTCACCCAAACATTAATCAGAGAGGTAGGAGCTAGTGAGCTGGGAAGAGGGGATTTGAGTCCATTATTTAAATGGACATTAACCTGGCGACTGTATTTCTCTTAAATATTAATTGTGTGAGCATACCATCATAAAATTTAGATGTTATTTTTACTACAACATAGGTATTGTGTCGGAAAAAGTGGAGTTTGGGGGTCGGGCCAGTCTCTATTGGAATTAATCCCATATGTTCTGTTGTTCACTTTACGCGGTTTTCACTTTCCCGGTACCCTGTGAGTTCAATTGACTGCGTAAATTGGGGTACTACTGTAATAATAATAATAATAATAATAATAATAATACAGTCAGCCCATAACATATGTGGGGGTTAGGTAACAGAGATACCCGTGAATGTTAAAAATCCGTGTACTTTTGCTGACCCCCCCCCAAAAAAAAACCCTGGCTCCCCATGTCCATATTTACCGTATATACCGGTGTGTAGTTCAAGTTTTTAAGACCAAATTATTTGGCAAAAAATTGGGGGTCGACCTCTAAACGGGTAATAGTTTCGTTAGGTTGAAAAATATTTACCAGTAACTACCAGTAAACAATGGAAACGATGCACCACCAGCTGTGAGTGTTGGTACAGTTGCCAGGGCAGATCTCTTGCGTCATCATAGCAAGCCCAAAGTAGCCAAATGCATGGTATGGTATGCACAGGACGATGTAAAACATAAAGTATTCATTTTTTAAAGTTTATTTATAGATACAGTACAGTATTACCCCGCTTAACGCGCTTTCACTTAACGCGTTTTCGCATATACGCGGTGCCTTGCCAAAGCTGAACTTTCACTTAACGCGGATTTTTCCACAGCAACGCGGTGAGTGTCCGC